TAATTTTATAGACCCCCATGAAATAAAAACCTAAATTTTATATTGATTTTTTTTTGATTAATTTAAACCAAATTTATTGGGCTAAACTATATAACAATACATTGGTCTAGTTAAATTTTAAAAAGTCCACAAAACTGAAAACCTAATTCAAAAGATGTGACTATTAAGTTTTTTAGTTCGTAAGAAAATTTGTGTGTTTATCAGCTGTTTAGCCATTTGTATTAAAATAATTTTTATGATTTTGTTTTTATATATTTTTTGTTATATATACTGGTCTCCATTTTCTTTTTCAACCCCTCCCCATCTAAATTACAGGACCGGCCCTGCTATGATGATGGGTTTTTGTTTTTGATTGAAATGGTTATGTTGTCAAATTTAGCTTGTTGGTCACATAAATATGGAGTTTTAGACTCCTTTTGTCCAATAGATTTGTCTCCTAATAATGGTTTTTTTTTTCTGAATTGGCCTTCAAGGTAAGAAGTTTCATGTGTGCCAAGGTTGGATTGTGGTGTTCTAATTTAATTTAATAAGCCGTTGAATTTTGTTTTTGACTGAAAAGCGGATAAATATTTACATGTAGGTAAAAATAGTTTTGTATATATAACTGGTGAAGAGCATGTAGATCTCAATCTTTCATCTTCAACCTGCCCTTATTGTATATATGAAATTAATTTAAATTTAACTAAAACTATTAAGTATTAACTATTATGGACTTAACTTACAAAAAAAAAAAACTTAAGTATTAACTATGTATAGACTTAGTTTACAGAAAAAAAACCTATGTATGGACTTACCAATTTAAGTATATCAACTATATTTTTGTTTTAACAGTACTCACTTTATTCTTGTGAAAGCATCTGTAACATCTTCTTAATGCATACTATTCATTTATTTCATAGGAGGGAACCTTGTTCTTTAAACATATTACATATCTTCGAGTAAGCTACATTGTCAATTAAATTTATCTAAGAATTCATACTTTTGTGAGTTTGTAGCAAAGATTTTGATGATAATGCTTAACTTTGATATCAAATCCTGGCCTTGGCAAAATTTATAAACCAAGATTAGAAATATCAAGACAAAGCATCATAAACCAATATTAGAATTCTAAATCCAACTTATTCAGATTTAGTAAATTTCTTAGTACATGAAGCTGGTGTGTGCTCTGTAAGTCAGTCAAACCAAACTAAACAAAGTAGGGATTAACTATTGTTAATCATTTTATGAAAGTGAGTATTCAGTTTACTATGCAAGTACCTAAAAGTCAATCCCAAGGAATGTCTTCAAAGCGTTGATTGCTTTGGAGAATTAAAAAGAGGTTTATCAAATTTAACTTGGCAAAAAGGAGCGAACTTTACAACATATTTTGCTGGTAAGCTCAAAACAAACATTAAAAGCTGGGGAGAAAAAAAATTAAACAAAGAAGTAAAGTTTGATTCAAGAATGACTCAGAAAAAAATCATAAAAAATGGTTGATATACCCAAAGAAGACAACTTTTTTAGACTGAAAGAAGAACCAAGTGTGCAGCTATAGTTCTCTTCTCTTGGCCTCTTGAAGAGAGTTCCTGAGTAGCATTTAGAATTCCAATCTCTGCAATTTTTGGAAAGAAAATGATTTAGGGGAATGAACTAATGAAATTCAAATAAGGGAATTCACATATTTATAGTTCCGTGTGAGAAGATGGGAATCAGTGTTAATGCTTGATTAGAAAAGAAAACAGAAAGACGCAATTGAAAAGCAAGAAAGAGGTCAGTCATGTTGATGTGCGTCGAGAAAATACCTCGAAACTTCATCATTTTGGTGTCGAAGACAGAAGCGCCGAAACCCTAGAACATGGCATAGCTCAGGGAGATGAAATAGGCCTTTCAATACTGGGCTTCACTCTATAACAATGCAGCTTCCCAACCACCATGTCAAAAGTACAACGTTTTGATATTATAGGACAGGTGTCACACTTAGAGAACTCTATTTGATGAGGAGGCACTTTCGTTTTTTTTTTAAACATCAAAAGGATGTTCTATCACTCAAACTTGAGGTGGTCTGGGAATCCAAGCCGGAATAGAACAACCAAACAAATAATAATTGGTGATAAAAGTTACGAGCAACCCTAGGTAAACCATATGCAGTCCGATTTTGCGTTCTTGGTACGTAAGAGATCTGAGAGTCTAGAAGTATGTCCTTCAATAGAACGAACTCTCCTAGTTATGTGGAGTAGCTTGGCCAGTCCTTCGGATATTGAGTCATTGCCAAAAAATTCTTGCAGTGCGTCCCAAAATGTTGACAATTGCTATTCTGGATCATACTCTCCATTGCCCACATTAAGGCCTCCAACTCTGTATGCAAAGAAGACACACGGTTTTCTTTATTCCTTAGGCCTAAGAGTTGTTCCTTTCCTGACCCGTCCATCCAAACCATCCATATCAACTATGTTCTGCTTACGCTGTCTATGATCCATCCACTAAGCATGTCTCGCAAGCTTAGGGCTTTCATATCCATGTGCGTTGTCTGATCTGTTTCTGTGGTTTTTGCATTTGTTTCAAACCAAGCGTTGCATTCACTTTATGCATGTCTCACCAATGCAAAATGATCTCTTGAGATGCCTCAGAAGATTTTTTCATTCCGTGCTTTCCATAGGAACCAAATGATCCATGGATAAGGGTACTTGTCTAGTTCAGGGTCTTCAATCTCATTCTTTCTCCCAAACATGTAGTCCATGATTGTGAATATGCTTGTTGTTGGTAAGGTTTCTGGGCATGAGGGTCTCGAGGCAAGGGCCCATGTCTACAAAACCGGTACAAATTTGAAAATAGCATGGTTAGCAGATTCATCTGGTACGCCACATCTTGGGAAATAATTGTCGCAATGCATGTGACGTCTTGTTAAGTTTCATGTGACCACTATATATCCAGACACTAGCTGCCATATAAGATGGTGGATCTTCTGTGGAGCCTGAATTTTCCAAGCAAAAGCCTTCAAGCTGGTTATACTTGGTTCTTCCACCATTTCTTCAATCTCGCGGTTTAGAATGTTTCTCGCGACCCAATAGCCTGATTTCACCGTATACATCTCATGTCAAGTATAACTCCATCTGTACTGATCTTCTCTATCAGATTGGCTTATGGCCAAACTCCGAATGAGGAGAATGTCTTCCTCAACTGTAAGGTTCTCCAGAATCTCATTCCGTACCTTCGGGGAACCATGGATCAGATCACTGACTGTCATTTGCAGATTTACCATTGGATTAATTTCTTAAGCCGGTCTAGCTGGGACTGTTGGTATCCACGGATCTTCCCAAACATGTATTTGGAACTCTTAGTGAACTTTCTGATTGATTCTCAACATTAAAAGAGGTTTGGAAGCCATCAAACTTGTCCATATATAAGATGGATAAGATACCTCTACCACCTGTAGTGGCGAACTTTTTAGATAAGATGAGGAGGCATTTTTAAAAGAGGAAAAACCCTACTTTATATCTATAGATTATATAAAATATTACTGCTATTTCCTTACCATATTTTTGTGACATTAATATTATCACATACTGTGTATCAATTGCTTTTACAGTATTTTTCACACACCAGAACATGGTTTGAAGATTTTCCATTACACATGAAAATGTAAAGCAACACATTTTTCATCACTATCAAGAATAAAATATTAAAAAGCAGAGCCCCACCTTCTCCACATTTTCAGAAAATATATCTCTATATTACTAAAAGAGAAAAAAGTTTAAATAATAACCTTTCATTATTAAGTTAATTACACTCGTACCATGTTGAATTGGCAACACCACAATGCACTTTAACCTATGCTTTTAACCTAAATCCGTGGTCAAACCATCAAACCAACTGATCCACTAAGTAACCGAATAACTTCAAGGAATCAAGATAAAGGCACTCAGATCCAGTAGATGTTAGTGATGAGTTATTTATAACATTCATAAGAACTATATCCATCTCTTTCTTTACAAGAGACCTAGAAACTCAAAAGATGTCCGATTAATTTGAACTTTTAAAACCAGAAGCAAGTTTTAAAATCAACCTCATCTTGAGACCAAAATTGAATGGATTGCTTCTGCATCTGAAGATATCAATGACGTGTGTGAGATGTTGAGTTTTCTTGAAATTTTATATGTATTTTGTGTTTCAATTCAGATCGATCGAAACCGAGTTTTGTTGTCTTCAATCGCTAAATATTAGTTATTGCTGCTAGGCGTAATTTGTTAATATTTCTTTGACTCCACATCCAGTTTATATACAGTGAGAGAGTGGAAATCGAAGAGGAATTCATAATGTTATTTTTTTTGTTTTGAAGAAGTCAACAATGGTGAAAGTTAATGAGAAAAGGGGAGGCAAAGAATCATTAATCCCAACAAAGGAAAAAATGGAAGAGAAACTGGAAAACTTATGGATGAAGAAAGATGTCGTTTCAGTTGTTAAAAAGAAGAAGAAAGATGTTGTCAGGTAACAACGATGACATGGTCTATTAAAAGTTGGTGATTGTTCGATTATTTTAATACATGTGGATATCCTGAGCATCTATGGTGTTCTATTTTATTATTGGAGATAAGTGATTGATGTTTGGAGAAGTAAGACACAGAACAATTGAGAGACAATAAAACCAAAAGAAAACTGAAAACAAATGAGTTATTACTAATCCACCCATTCCAAAAGGAGATCCCTTTTCTCCCGCTGGTTTGCTTAGCTCTTGTGTTTGTCTTAAAATAGCTCTCATTCCTCATCATCTCCCAATTCTTTTTTTCTTTTTCTAAATTCTGTTAATCCATTGCCCGCTGATTTTCTCCGGGTATGTAAGATTCTCAATACATATATTGTTTCTTGTTGAAATCCTTAGATTATTACAGATTATTAAATCAATGTTTTAAAATGTTAAATTTGTTTTATTGTATATTTGTTTGCCATTAACAGTTCTTTGATTATTTGGAATCAAAGTTTCCGAATTGATGGATATGTAGACTTCTCCTGAATATAATTTGGAGATGAAATCTGCTGAGATCACCGCTGAGGAAGTTTCTCCTAAAAAAAATGTTGAAAAATTGGAGGATGAAAAAGGAAGAAAAATTAAAAAGATGAACCCTGTGGAGGTCAGAGATGAGGATGTTTATCCTAAACCCATTATAGAAACTAAGGATATAATCGATGAGATGGAATCTATATATATCCACGAAGAGGACAAGGCAGTTTCTTTTGCGTCTGAGACACAACAAGATAAATTTCTTACAGCTAATGAAGATGATGATGATGATTCAAAATATGAAATAGAGAGAGCTAATGAAGATGAAAAAATGGATGATAGAAAGAAGGCAAAACTTGAGCCACCAGATTCTAGTCCACCGACTTCTGCTTGGACAGAGAAAGCAGCTGCGATCAAGAACTTTGTTAGATTGAAAAGTGTAGTTGCAGTACACACAGTCATCCGTCGTCTTTCAGGGAAAATGAATTATGAGAATGCTGTTCATGACACAATAGATTATGAAACAAAATTCGCGGAATCTCCTAAAGCAGAGGGAAAGTCGTCCATATGGAATCCCTTAAGCTATTTGAAGATGATGCAGAATGATGATTTGGTTGATAAAGTACAAATTACAAATGTGAATGCAGAGTTGGAGCCTGTAGTAATGAAAGGTAGGATTGTACTTTATACAAGACTAGGGTGTGAGGAATGCAGAGAATGTAGGTTTTATTTGCATGGAAAGAGGCTTAGATATGTTGAGATAAATATTGATATCTACCCATCTAGAAAGAAGGATCTAGAAAATATTAGTGGATCATCTTCTTCAGATGTTCCTACGGTATTCTTCAATGCAGAATTGGTTGGGAGTTTTAAGGAGCTTAAGGAATTGGATGAATCAGGAGAACTTGATGAGAAGATTAGACATTTGATAGTTGAAGCCCCACCTAAGGAAGCTCCTTTGCCACCATTCTCAGGAGAAGACGATGCATCAAGTAAAGGTCATGTAGATGAACTAGCTTTAATAGTGCGGAAAATGAAGCCTTGCATCATTAAGGATCGATTTTATAAGATGCGAAGGTTCAAAAACTGTTTCTCAGGTTTAGATGTTGTGGATTTCTTATCGTCTGATCAACGTTTAGAAAGAGATGAGGTAATATATATATAAGTAATGTTATCATTTTGCTGTTTTAAATGTAGATGATATACATCTTTTGACGGTATTTGTTTTTCATAGGCCATTGAAGTTGCTAGAAAACTTGCAAGCCAACTCTTCTTTCAACATGTTTTAGAGTAAGATTTGTCTTATGCACCGATGTTTTCAAGTTTTTGGCTTTCGTTTATATTTTGTATAATTTACGATATTTTTCATCCAGTGAGAATATGTTTGAAGATGGGAATCACTTGTACCGATTTCTAGATGATGACCCTGTTGTGTCATCTCAATGCCATAACATCCCTAGAGGAATAACTGAGATAAAGCCAAGGCCAATCGTTGAAATCGCGTCAAGACTTAGACTTTTGTATCGAGCAATTCTTGAAGCTTACACTTCGCCAGATGGTAAACATGTTGACTACAGAAGCATCCATGGAAGTGAAGAGTTTGCAAGGTATGTATATAAATTCTCTTTACCTGTGTTGTTTCTATTATTATTTTTTATTTCTAATCCAAGTATCAATCTTTGCCCAAGGTACCTGCGAATAATCCAAGAGCTCCATAGGGTAGAGCTAGTAGATATGCCGAGAGAGGAAAAGCTCGCCTTCTTTATTAATCTTTATAACATGATGGCTATTCATGCAATACTTGTATGGGGACATCCAGTAGGACCACTCGAGCGAACAAAGATGTTTGGAGAGTTCAAGTATGTTATTGGTGGCTACACTTATTCGCTCTCGACTATCCAAAATGGTATTATAAGGGGTAACCAGCGACAGCCATACCATCTTATGAAACCTTTTACTGAAAAAGATAAACGGTCCATGGTAAATCAAATGTCTGAAGAAGTTAGTTTGAGTGTTTTTATTCATGTCTTGTGCTGATTCATATTATCATGTCTTTAGGTTGCGCTACCTTATGCAGAGCCTTTAAGTCATTTTGCTCTGGTTTGTGGTACTCGTTCTGGACCACCTCTCCGTTGCTTCTCACCTGGAGAAATCGACAAAGAACTCATGGAGGCAACTCGGGATTTTTTAAGAAAAGGTGGGCTCATTGTTGATCTCAATTCCAAAGTTGCATACATTAGCAAAATTTTTAACTGGTAAAGCTCAAATATATCTTCTTCTGTTTTCGACCAAAAATAAATCTTCTTTTAGATACAACAGATTTCAAAGTTACATATGATTTAGTCACTTACTTAAGATAACTCGTTGCACAGGTATGGGGTAGATTTTGGAAACGGTGAAAAGGAAGTACTAAAGCATGCATCAACCCACTTGGAACCCCAACTTTCAGAAGCTTTATTGGATCTGCTAGTTGATACTCAGTTTAGGGTTGTCTACCAAACATATGACTGGGGACTTAACAACTAAAAGACTTGAAAAGTCGGAGACAATTTTGTAGGTGGGATTGAAATTAAAAATTGTTAACCTTGTCGATAACTGAAAACTATGACATACAACTTTTTCAGATGGTACAAATCTAGTTTATCCTGTTTTGATCTTCTTTCTTTCTTTCAGAATTTCTTCAGGAACTTCACAATGTTCGATTTTCATTTCTGTTCATCAATTGTCTTAAAATGTGTTTTAAACCGATGATCATCTCTATTCTGAGACCACAGACTGATTCAGCAGATTAGTTTCTTTCTCTTTCTGTAAGCTTTTACTTAACAACACTAGTTAGATTTGTTAACTTGTACTGTCACCGCCGTCGCTTTTTCAACAGGCCAACCAGGATGAAAACATAAAAGTTAAATACCTAAATATTGAGGGACCAAAATTCACCTACTGTCGATTTCCGTAAAATAAGAAAACATAGGAAAACCCTAATTTTTCAGAGAAACTAAATCTCTGCGAAAGCCAACGCCAAGTAACCAAATAAATGCGTAAAAATATGAAAACGTAATAAAACGAATTTATAGAGAAAATATATCTTATTTCGAGCTCGCGTAAGAGCGTTACGATTGTTACAAGGGTTTACAAAGGCTTTGGCCGGAGGGCCATCAGCGAGTTATCAACATAAAAATCCTAAACCTAATCGAGTCGCAGCTCGATAACAAAAGACGGAAGAAGATGATAAGAAAAAAGGGTTTGGTTGATTTCGGGCTGAACCTTATGAAAGGCTGCCTACGTACCCCTTTCGAGGATCAAGTCGAACGTAGTTCAATTTACAGAGCTAGACAAGAGATTGAACTGCCTGGGCGAGTTCGTCTAGTATTTGAGCGCCAGTCATAGAAACCGAACTTGTCGAGAATAAGCCTAAGTTTCTAAGTGCGGAAAATTATAAGTCTAGAAAAATTATGAAAGTCTCAGATGAGAGCTCTGAAATTCGTCCCCTTCTTCTGCCCTATGCCTCTTGCTTATATACTCCCTTCCTTGGCGGTTTAATCATTCTATTTCGCCAAGATTTGAGTTTATCGAGAATCTTCCATTTATCTCTATCTTTCCTTTTTTTACCGTGGAAATCTTCTATTTATCTTCAAACTTGACATTTATCTTCAAACTTGACATTTATCTTCCTTCTGCGGGTAAATCGTCAAAACGTTATCGTATCTTCGGGCTAGATTTCGTTAAGATCGCGAGATGGGCTTTTTATCGCGTTTTAGGACCGTCCGAGCCGTTTTGCGACTTTATACGAGATCGTTTCCTGATCCGGTGCCGTTTTTAATAAATTCCCTGAGTTAATCGTAAAGTTTAGCTATGTTCGTTTTTTGGTTAATCGTTGCCGTTTTTACGATTCAGTCGACATTTTTTATTAAAAACGCGTTTTTACGATTTTTATCAAAAATATCGAATAAATCGTATAGTTTAGGCAATGTTCGGTGTTTCGTTTGACCGTTGCCGTTTTATACGATTTCCTCGAGTTCTTTCGAGAAAACAAAGTTTTACGATTTTTATCGTAAAACTCGAACGGTAAGATGGATTGAGACAAAACGGGAGACATTTTGACCGTGGCTGGGGACATGATCGTGTCGAAGGACGTAAGCCTTGAATCGTAACGTGGGAGATCGAGGCTCGGGATGGTTGGCTCGACGTACGATGAGCCGAACTGGACCGGTTCAGCTCGCCGTACGGCGAACTACCCGGGAAGCTTCTATGGCGAGCTAGTCGGGATGGGACTAGCTCACCGTTTGGCGAGCTAGTCGGGATGGGACTAGCTCGCTGTTTGGCGAGCTAGTCGGGATGGGACTAGCTCACCATTTGGCGAGCTGGTCGCGACGGGACTAGCTCGCCGTACGGCGAGCTAGTTCGGCCGAACTAGCTCGCGTTTTACGGCGGTTTCAGTTTTTCGCGGTTTTGTGATTAAATCGGGCAATTTTGTAATCGGCGTATGTTTTGTTCTTCCGAGATAACGATTTCCAAGTTTTCCGCGGATTTCCTTTGTTTAGAAACTTCTTTTAACTTTATAAAACAATTTCTCGAGTTTTATAAAACGACTTCTCGAGTTTTATAAAACGACTTCTCGAGTTTTTTAAAACGATTTCTCAAGTTTTATAAAACATATTTTTATTTTTACTTTTGCGGAGACTTTTAGCCATTGATTCCGTCGTGACCGATTTTGACACCAGCAGTTAGCCCCCCAGCTCGCTAGAATCTTGAGCCGCTAGCGTAAGGTTATGGCGAGTGGTTAGCCAATTTTAGTTAAGTTAGGCGGAATTAATGGTTGGAAAGGTCCGTTGAGAGTGATCTTTCCATTCTCCAGGAAGCGAAAAGCGTTTTACGATTAGGGCTGCGCCTTGTGAAGGCTGCCTACGTACCCTATTGAAGGGATCAAGCCTTCCGTAGTTCGTTTGGAGTTAAGGTTCGTATGACCTGTTTCGCAGTGAGACGTTTACAGTCTAGTTATGTGTCGTGTAGAAATTATCGAGCATTTTGATGTCGATGGCATCAGTTTGCATTTTTTATGAGCGTGTTTTTATTCGTATGACTGTAGCAGGAAGAATATGAGTTGATATTGAGGGAGGTCCGCGAGTTGTCGTCTCGCATTCCTTTTCCTTTGTGGATCGCCTTGTTCGTTTGCTCGTTTTAAGATGTTTAGTAAATCGAGTGAGCATTTAGATATAGACGAAGAGACATGCTTTTAGGATCTCGATTCATGCCTTGAGACATTTGAGACCAGTGTGCTGGGTTTAGGGTAAGACCTAGGTTTACTTTCGGATTGAGGCTATGCGATGACTAGTCGGCTTTCGTTTTGCCTGTTGCGATTTTAACCTGATTCCATACCGATTTAGAATCCACGATAGGTTCTCGGCTTATACGATTCGTCTGGTTGGAACCGAGCATCTCACCGGGAATAATTTCTAAGTTGCCCGGAAGTGCTGACCAAAAGTTTGGATTTCTTTTATAGCGCCATGACCCTTGTGTCGGGTGTTCGAGAGCTATCTCTGCGATATAACTTAAGTTTGTTTAAGACTGTTGCGAGTTTGTTGTGATCAGCAACAAACTTTTTAGGCGATAGATGTTTACGTTGTTTGGGCCTTCACGAAGGATATGTATGTTAACAAGTTTTGTGTATTTTATAGTCGCGGACGGACTGTTAGGTCTTCCAAGAAAATGACTTTATCGAGGAAGGTATTTTTGTCGAAAAACTATTCTCCGGGCGTCTGCTACGTCTCGCAGTGCCGAAAGTTGGTTTTTATTTTATATGCTGCATTTCATGTTTGAAACGTTTGCGGGCTCGAAGATGTTGCGCGGTGTCGCAAGGGTTTTGTCTTGACCCTGCTTTGCGGAAACACTTTGACTTGCTTGCGAATATTCGCAGCCAAAACTTATGTTCATGTTTGGATGTTAAATAGTTTGATTCGTGCTAGGGCAGTTAGGACCGAGGGGTCGCGTAAGTTTGCTCCTGAAACGAAGCGTCTTTAATTACAATGTTTTTTGAAGTGTTGCCCTTTCGATGCTTGTCGGGTTTTGTGTCGGGTTTTGTATGCAACTTGCTTCGGAAATAGAGTGAATCGTGAGGATAAAGAACTTAGCCGATTTTTCGAAAAGTTTGTGTTACCCGTTGAAAGTATTGTCCTGGTGTGAAGGTTGTATTCAGCCTCATAGCCAAGGACGCAGTTGGTAAAGGATTAGACCATGACTTGGACCCGGTCTTCGAAGCGAAGTGTGATCAGACAAGGGCCAAATAGCGTTTGTCGAGATTGATATGCCAAGTATGCTCTTGTTTGTAGAAAACGTTTTTCCGTTCTAGGTTTGATTTATACAACGAAATTTTCGTATAATCTTTCCTTTGTTCGTATGGACGTTGTTTCTCTTTTTTTTTTACTTGAGGGAGACAGAGCCTAAGAAGCTCGATGCAGAGCCCGTGCAGAGTCATTTGCGGGGCAGTCTCATTCTCAGATGTAATCGGGAGGAATGAGAGCGGATGCTCGTGAACCGAATGGCTAAAGAGTGAGATCTTTCAGATCGTGGCGCGAGGAAGCAAAGTTTAGATTAGTCGCTTAGTGCCGGATCGTATAGCTTGGTTTTCGCTATAAGGAAAATACTTTTTCGCAAAACCTGTTACGTTTTATTTCGAAAGTTACTTCGTTACGACATGATCCTGACTGTACGAAGGATTTTTCGCGTAAGTAACGGGCGATGAATTTAGTAAATCGGCACGACGCATTGGGTTAACAATGTTTCCGCAGATTTTTCGAGAAACCTTTCCTCTTAGTTTTTGATTCTTTGGTGATAGTTTTTCGGAGTTACTTGCGGAGCTTTACCAAAAGTTATTTCACCGAGATCTAGTCGAAAAATGTTTTAGCGGGTTTCTCGGGTGGAACGACTCACATGACCAGTAATAGGATCAGTCGGTGAGAAGGGAGGACATGTTCTCTTTTGCTGCTTTGTGTTCTCAATTTTTCTTTTTGCCGCAAATGTTCTTGATATTATTCCGTGATTCAATTGGTTCGACGGAGAATGAGATCAATGCTTTGACGCCTAAGATTTCTCGTATAATTTTTGATTCTTATACGAAACTTGTTTTATCAAGTTGGAGACGATCTTTATGACTTCGGAAAATCAACGATTTTCACTCTGAAGTTTTCGCAGAGATTTTATAACCGCATGGTTGCGACGAGAGATGCTGTATAGTCCTCGAGATTATTTCCCAGATGGTTTGGATCAGTCTTTAGCGTTTAAACGGTTCTTAGATTGTCGTCTACTTTTGGGATGATTTTGACGAGGCGTCGCATTGTCCAAATATTTTTTCTGCTTATTTCTGCGAGAGTTTGCTTTATAGAAAGCATTTTTTCGATGCGAGGAAAAATATTCGACGAAAATAAAAAATATGAGTTTCCTTTGAGGGATTCGGATGATCGATAATCCGGGTTGGTTAAAGACCGTGGTGGATTGGCGATGACTTGGAGTATGTCTGATTTACGAAAATT